ACGGTTTCGACTTCGACCCGTTTTCGAAGTACTGTGGAAGCTGTCGATTCATGCATCGTAATTTCTTCTCCTCTCTGGGCATGGAACATCACGGCTACGATGTGTTTCGTTATCTCTACGCGACCTCCAACATAAACCTCCCGAATTTCTTCAAAAAATCTCGGTGGCCGAAAGTCTGGAGCAAGAACGCCAACTGGATTGGATACGTCGCCGTTTCGAACGACGAAACCACCAAGAGGTTAGGCCGCCGTGACATAACCATTGCATGGAGGGGCACCGTGACTCGCCTCGAGTGGATTGCCGATTTAATGGACTTCCTCAAGCCCATTTCCAACAACAAAATCCCGTGTCCGGATCACACCGTGAAAGTCGAATCCGGGTTCTTGGATCTATATACTGATAAAGATGTCAACTGCCGGTTCTGTAAATTCTCCGCCCGGGAACAAATTCTAACCACAGTTAAGAAATTATTAGAAATGTACTGCGACGAAGAAATTAGTATTACGATTACAGGCCACAGTCTTGGGAGCGCTTTGGCGATATTAAGTGCTTATGATATAGCTGAAGCTGGTTTGAATGTGATGGAAGACAGTCGGGCGGTGCCGGTTTCGGTGTTTTCGTTCTCAGGGCCGCGGGTGGGGAATGTGAGGTTCAAGGAGAGGATGGAGACGCTGGGGGTGAAGGTGTTGAGGGTGGTGAATGTGAATGATATCGTGCCAAAATCTCCGGGGTTTTTCTTGAACGAGAATGTGTGGCCGGTGTTGATGAAGGTGGCGGGGGGATCGCCATGGAGTTACTCGCATGTGGGAGTTGAGTTGGCGTTGGATCATAAGAACTCTCCGTTCTTGAAACAGACTAATGATCCCGTTTGTGCTCATGATTTGGAGGCTCTCCTGCATTTGCTTGACGGGTTAGTATTCACCATTTGCACCGCTCCATTGTTCAGTTCATATGTTTTACTGATTTTGGCTATAAGGCACCTTACATTCACACTTTGATAATTGAATTTCATTTTTTATTTTCACCAATCCAAATGCATCAGTTTATATTGAAACGCAGATCAGCATGTGGGATGCATAGGGAACTATACAGATGGGTTCTGATAAAAAAAATCAAACTAATTACTAGTACCCTCATGCCATTGAAAGATTGGTTGATGATACTATGGCATTATTAGTTTGTATAGGATGTTGGGATGGCTAGCTGGAAAATCATTTAATAATATGAAACTCTATCGTGTCCCCATGCCATGATCACCAATTGCTTATAGCCAGACCAAACATTCACTGTTAATAATACTAAATAATTGCACCAGTTTCCATTTCACTTCAGGTTACAGCTTATGTCCCCACTCCCCAGCAATTAGCAACTGTTTGATTTTCAGTTTTCTTAATCCAAACAGTTAATAAACTAGTTTTAAAACCAACAAACCAACCAATAGCTGAATCAATACAGCTACTAAATTGGTCTGATTCATTATATGTAGGTGAGCTATCACTATAAGTTAACAGAAACAAGTGAATAAAGAAAAACTTTCTTGGTTGTTTTGAAGTGCTGAAACTGTGGGTGCTGAGTATTAACTGTTTGCTAATGCAATGCAGATACCATGGAAAAGGGCATAGATTTGTGCTGGCAACTGGGAGAGATCCGGCGCTGGTGAACAAGGCGACTGATTTTTTGAAAGATCATTACTTGGTTCCACCGTGTTGGAGGCAAGATGCGAACAAGGGAATGGTGAGGAACTACGAAGGGCGTTGGGTGCAGCCAGAAAGGCCTAAATTAATAGACGATCACCTTCCGGATATTCACACACACCTTAGCAAATTAGGCCTTGGCGCTTCTGATGAGACTCGTGATGACCATGTTTAATTCAAACTTAGTACATTTTGAGTTCTAATTACCTAAATCATTAGTGTAAAATCATCGGATATGTAAATTAATTGCAGTGTTGGCTAGGCCCTCTCCTCTTGGTGAACTTACAAAATCGCTACAACTTATATATTTGACGAAAAAAATATTTAGAATACCGCCGTGATATCACATCATCTATACCATTGTCCAATGAATTTTTGTCATTCAACTCTAAGTTTTTTTTTTTTTTTTTTCCTCATCTATGTTTAAATCTATAATGACATGATAATTATTAAATTCAATAATTATTTGACATGCATTGTTAGGAGATTGGACAACAGATAACATACATTCTAAATTAATAATATATGAATAAAATCACACCTTACAAAATGACACGATATTTATGTGGTTCGACATAATTCGTCTATATCCACAGATGAGAAAAATTTGTTATAACTTCATAAACACGATATATAAGAGTACAAAACACTATAAACTTGGTACATAATTAACAGAGCGAAAACAATCATAGTTTCCAAGACACTCCACTCATGGTATTTAATAACCCTTACACTAAATACTTTGTATTCTTATATTCTTTTATAACTTTGAATTGGTTATCACCCATATATTTATAGGTAGGATATGAGATGTTTTATCTTTAATAGGATTCATATTTCAATTCTTAATAGGACTCCCACAATTCTATTCCTAATTATAATTGTAGGCTCTGTTTGGTTCACAATTTTGTGTTTTTGAGAAAAGTTTTTTGAAAAAAGTTGAATTTGACGGGTATTACGATGTAGGATTTACAAATTAATAAAATACATTCTATGTTTTTTTTTTACAAACCACCCCCTATAATAAAACATTAAAAATTAACAAAAACACTCTCAATCCACCCTCAAATACGGACAGTCGGCCACCACCGTCAGAGGGTGATCGGAGTCGCCGTAACAAAAACATTAAAAATATTTAGGGGTATTTAATTAAATTAACAAATTTAGAGGATTTAAAAAAAATTGAATAAAGTTAAATAATATTGTGAGTTTTTTGGTATTTTACTGTTTAACTTTTTTGGGAATACTAAAAGTAGTATTCCCAAAATCCAACCAAACGAAGCCGTACTTTTTATTAAATAATTTTTCTAAAGACATACAATTTTATATGGGAACAAATAGGAAAACAAGTCACTATATCCCAACATGCATATATTAACTTGTGGTATAATATAAATAAATACCAGAGTAGTATTATAAACTTCCTCTATTTTTACATGAAATATTAAATTTTTTTAATTTTTGTTTACTTTTATTATTAAAATGATTGATAATTATTGAATTAAATATTTAATTATAGTAACATTAATATCATATCATGATACTACCATTATTTAAAACCCAAAATGGAATACATACAACTTTCAATATATAGCTAGCTATGCACAACAAGATGATTTCTCATGGAATTATTAAAGAAAAAAATGTATTGATTAGAGTTAGCTAAACATATTTAACTAATAAAAATTAAAAGTATTTTTATTGGAGATAGCTCCGTAAAATTACACCATTGTTTTACATCAACTGTTGCTTTTTACATATTATAAGAATGAATGGTGTAGATCAGTAGCAGAGATTAATGGGTTTTAAAAAATAGGTATAAGTAGTGCATATAGATGAAAAAAAAAAAAAAAACCAATGATACATATATATTTTTTTCATATCTCTTTCCTCTGTCTTCCCTCTTAATTCAATTCAAAATATTAAATTAAAAAAAATAATTTTGAGATTACATTATTAGATATTCATTTGTATTCTTTTTTCAATTTAGTAACTTATGGTAACGCATACTCAATAATTATTAATTTTTACACATTAAAATAATATGCTAATTGTTGATGCAAGATTTTACAGAAACCAGAGTGATTCGATTGACCTTGATGGAATCAGAACCGTTGTATGCGTGATTAATTAAAACTAGCAAAGATAATGAATATAAATGCTTAAGAGTAAGAGCAACAAACAATTTTTAAAGTGATTCAGTAAGTTAGAACTTAAGCCTACATCTACTGTTTTTATTATTGCTTCGAGAGCTTACAAGAAATATTATAATATGTCTAGAACAAATTGCTAACCCCTCTCTTATTGTTGGAGGGGTTTATATGCAAGTTTTTTTACAAATAAAAGAGAGAAATTATCAAGATTACAATCAAACTCAAAGTGTAACTCCAATATTCTCGTGATTAAGCGCTAAGATCATGCTATCATTGTTGTTAATCTCATCCATTTCAAAATATCCGGGATATGAGCTTATCTGTGATTTGTTCGAACAATTGTAAGGGTTGGTCGCGATTAGTTTATGTTGCGTCGAGCTATATCTCAACGAATTTATACTGGGTCGGACAAGTGTTGAGTTAAACTGATTCTGGGGCGAACTATATTGTCGTGGGCTTCTAACATTTCTGAACTTAATGGAAAAATCATACACAACACTAGTTTTATTATTCTTATTTCCAAAACATTTGTATTTATAATGCTTAAAAAAATGTACTATTATTATTTTGTAACTTTGTTAAGTTGAGTGATGTAAATTTTGGAATTAAAAGGGAAGAGAGAGGAGAAAGAAATGAAAAAAAAAATATATTAAATATATATCATCGTTTTTAGTCCCTTCATTGGTTATACATACTTTTTAAAACCCGTTAATCTCTACTACTAAATCTATACCATTCATTCTTATAATATCTAAAGACTAATATTCAGTGTAAAAAATTGTTTAATTTTAAGGAGTCATTGATCTGTTATCTGTCCCATTTTTATATCGTCTTTCTATGGACCATTTTTACATATTAGAATTTCAATTAAAATATTTGAAAGGATATAATTTTCTTTTTATTAAATATAAATTTAAAGTTACAATTTATCAACAATCAATGGTAATAATGATAAAAATTAATACATTGCATAAATGTATTATCTCATCTTGTAATATTATATCAGGTCCGAAAACCCGGTTGAATTTCAAACGGGTGAAGGCCGCGGGAGGATCGGGTCTCTTAAAAATAAAGAACTAATTTACTACTTTACCCCTAATAGTTGTCAAAAATAACTTTCGTTGGTTCTTTCTATAAACCCTCCAAGTTTAGTTAGGGTTTTACTGAGTGAAGCCCTCTTTTAGTTTGCCGTCGGACAACATCAGGTATTGACATTTCCTCTTCTCTATTTGCAAAGATTTTTTAACAGTATGTGTTGATTTAATTTTTTTAATTCATAAACATTTGCATATTGAAACGTAATTTTACGAATTGCGCTCTGTCATCTTCTTACTCTTCATCTCGATGGAATTTTTTTTTATCTTTTTTGTTCTAAAGGATTACAAGCAGTCTAATTCTCTAACAGTTGATATGGTGTTTTTATTGTTACTCTGTGTTCTGTCTGTGTCATATTTTTATTTATGTAGATTTGATTTTCTTTTGTTGAGAATGTATTGTTGTGTGTAAAAATCGTTTTCTTTTTTGGGAAAGGTGTTTCAATGTCCTTGGTAACCCCAGTTTATTTTGCAGTGTATTTTTGGATATTATGGATTTTCTTAATTGGTAATATTGTGCATACTTATTTACGTGTTTTTGTTAATTTGGCAGAAAACGTGGTCTTATTTCACGGAAAATGAGTTTGATATCTCAGAATGTTGTCTCTAGAAAGAAAGTCAATTCAAAATCGGAAGATGGTGATGAGCCTCTGCTCCTGGAAGAGTCAAAAGGTGTTGAGGTTGGAGGAGAATCTGGTTTGGAGATATCACGGGTGAAGAAGAGAAAGATAGAGAAGGAAAAGCAAGTGGGAATGGAGCAAGAAAAGGAAATGAAAAAGCTAGAAAACTTTTTGTTTGGATCCCTTTATGCCCCTGTTGAATTTGGGAAGGAAGATGAGGAAGAATTCCAAGGGGAAGGTCAAAATGGTTCTGCTGCATACTTTGTGGATTGCTCTGCAGATAGAATGCTGTCTGTTTATGAAGAGGAGTCACAATTGTCAGAGGAAAGTGATGATGAAGAGGGAACACAGCAAAAGAAACCTGTCTGGGTGGATGAGGAGGAGCTGCAGACCAAGATAGATATTGCTAAAGTTAATAGGTTGAGGAAGCTAAGGAAGGAAGAGGATGAAAAATTGATTTCTGGTTCAGATTATGTTTCAAGACTGAGGGCTCAGCATGTTAAGCTGAACCCAGGTACAGAATGGGCCCAACTTGATTCACGGTCAAAGATGGGTGGCTCTTATGATGATGAATCATCAGATGAAGAAAATCAGGCAATGGTGGCTCGAGGTTATGAGGATGTTGAAGCTGTTGATGATATTCTTAGGACAAATGAAGATCTTGTTGTTAAGAGCCGTGAAAAGCTGCTGCCTGGACTTCTAGAATACTCGAGACTTGTAGATGCTAATGCTGAGGAACCCTCTAATGGTCCAATAAATTCAGTTCAGTTCCATCGCAATGCTCAGTTGCTTCTTGTTGCTGGATTGGATCGAAGGTTGAGATTTTTTCAGATTGATGGTAAACGGAATACTAAAATTCAAAGCATTTTCCTTGAGGACTGCCCGGTTCGAAAGGCATCTTTCTTACCTGATGGGTCTCAGGTTATAATAGCTGGAAGAAGAAAGTTCTTTTACAGCCTCGATTTAGTGAAAGCGAAAGTTGATAAAATAGGCCCCCTGGTTGGTAGGGAGGAGAAAAGCTTGGAAGTTTTTGAAGTTTCCCCTGATTCTAGTACGATTGCATTTGTGGGCAATGAAGGTTACATCTTGTTAGTTTCATCTAAGACAAAGGAATTGATTGGAACTCTGAAGATGAATGGAAGTGTTCGTTCCTTAGCTTTTGCCAATGACGGGCAGCAATTGTTGAGCACTGGGGGTGATGGACAGGTCTACCATTGGGATTTGAGAACAAGAACTTGCATCCATAAGGCAGTTGACGAAGGTTGCATAAATGGTACAGCTCTTTGCACTTCATCTAATGGAACTTTCTTTGCAGCGGGTTCTGACAGTGGGATAGTAAATATATACAACAGAGAGGAGTTCTTAGGGGGTAAGAGAAAACCAATCAAGACCATCGAGAATCTAACCACCAAGGTGGATTTTATGAAATTTAATAACAATGCTCAAATATTGGCAATTTGTTCAACCATGAAGAAGAACAGTTTGAAGTTGGTACACATTCCTTCATTTACCGTTTTCTCAAACTGGCCTCCAGCAAATAGGACTCTACAATATCCTCGGTGTTTGGATTTCAGTCCTGGTGGTGGTTTTGTGGCTATGGGAAATGCTGCTGGAAAAGTGTTGTTATACAAGTTGCATAATTACCCCTATGCATAGAGTGAATGTAGAATTCCAGATTTCCAATCACTGCTGACGGAGTTCTTATTTGCATATCTAAAGATTGAAGCATTTTACTTATTTCCAAATATACAAGTGTATCAATTCCCTTGCTTGCCGATTGTCATGCTGGTGAACTTCCATGACAGTCTCCTAAGAGAACAGTGCAATAAATTTTGACTTATTTTTCAGTTTCGGTCAATTCACTGAGAGGTGCATCACATTATATATTCTAGTCAATTTAGAGTTTGTCCTTGTGAGTCACCCCATAGCTATAGGGTTTTCAATGTTCTGTACCTTTGTTGCAGATTGAATTTTCTGCAATGGTTTTGGTTATTGGTTTTTCTTCTTGATCATGTTGAGGCATTAAATTTTTGGATAAAAAAATTTTGTTAAGTACTTGCTTCTATGGTTACAACTTACAGTTCCAGCTTGATAGTAGTCTCGGTTTTTGCTTATGTATTTTGCGAAGAGTGCCTTGTTGCAAATACCCAATTGAATTTCATTTTGATATTTTCAATTAAGCATTTTCTTTGATTTGGATTTTGGCCGTTCGTCTTGAACTGAGCCAAACCAAACGTAGAATTAAGAAGGTTCAGATTTATCCATATTAGAAATGTTATGGTTCTGTTAAATTGATTTGACCATAGTTTATAATTTGCTATTTACTTTCTCTACCATGTTACGGCTTTGTTGTTGTAACCATTCTGATTAACTTCGAAAATCTGTTCACGCAATTAAGAAGCAACTAACAGTTCAATACAGGCATATTATACACTTGAAAATTGATCGCACAACTAGAAGCAAGGAAAACTTACATTCTGTACTTATTTAAATTAACATTACATTTCTGTGAAAACGAACAAGTATGAAGGTATAAAAAAAAGAAAATAAATACTAACAAATTTATTAAAACAATCCCATTTTAAAACGCTATTCTGCTCATTCCCATGTTGGACAGTGCAAAATCACGCTACAAAATTATAGAACCACAGGTTCTTTTGCCTGCGCTTCTCAACGGCCAAAACAAGAAATCTGTGTTAATGAATCCAACTGAAGTTCGATCAGGTGTACGGTCCCAGTTCTTTATCAATCCTTCACAAACTGTTCACTGGCAACCCAACCTGCCCAATCAGATACAATGACAAACAATATCATACTATTAATGTGTATAAGATAGTTTTACGGGATCTAGAATATTATAATGGCCCATAAAACAATTAGATTATACCTAGGTCAGAAAAAAACCTCATGAAACCACTCAAATTTCAGAAGACAGCAAGTTTTGAAGAAAATAGAAATGTCATTTGAAGGTTTCACATGTCGGCAAGTTACTATACTAAACCCCCAGAAATATGCTTTATTGAACAAAAGGAGTAGTATGGTGGGCAATGAGGGCTTTCCTATTTAATCACAATGATTTAAAGCTTCTCCCTTTGTTAATAGATTTATATCATGTAATGATCTTCAGTGTCATTCTCAAAATATTAGTTTTTATCTAAATCTTTGGAATGATAGAAATAATAAATCAAACAAACATGTTTTTGGAAGGAAATCACAACTCTGAACAGTTCACACCTTAAACGGGCCCATGCACTGTGCAGTCGATTAATCAAACTCGATTCTTGCTAAACCCCTGCGGCAGCTTTCACCTCAGGACCAGTCATTCCCTAAAACAAATATAAGGATGGCATTTGGTACATTCAATCATGAGAGAAGTTTATAAGACTGCAGATTAGAAACTCTGTAAATTTTTTTCTCTTTCTAGGAGCAAAACATACAAATTAGTACATATACACAAAAAAAGGTCATCTCTGACTTAAGTAATAAAACAAACTAGGCTTGCCAATTATATAAATCCAGAATACAAATTCCTCCAATGAACACTTGGTAATAAATTATATTAATTCTATAGGACAATTTGCCAGGCCAGCAGCAGCAAAAGAAGAAAGGATATAATTTTCTTTTTATTAAATATAAATTTAAAGTTACAATTTATCAACAATCAATGGTAATAATGATAAAAATTAATACATTGCATAAATGTATTATCTCATCTTGTAATATTATATCAGGTCCGAAAACCCGGTTGAATTTCAAACGGGTGAAGGCCGCGGGAGGATCGGGTCTCTTAAAAATAAAGAACTAATTTACTACTTTACCCCTAATAGTTGTCAAAAATAACTTTCGTTGGTTCTTTCTATAAACCCTCCAAGTTTAGTTAGGGTTTTACTGAGTGAAGCCCTCTTTTAGTTTGCCGTCGGACAACATCAGGTATTGACATTTCCTCTTCTCTATTTGCAAAGATTTTTTAACAGTATGTGTTGATTTAATTTTTTTAATTCATAAACATTTGCATATTGAAACGTAATTTTACGAATTGCGCTCTGTCATCTTCTTACTCTTCATCTCGATGGAATTTTTTTTTATCTTTTTTGTTCTAAAGGATTACAAGCAGTCTAATTCTCTAACAGTTGATATGGTGTTTTTATTGTTACTCTGTGTTCTGTCTGTGTCATATTTTTATTTATGTAGATTTGATTTTCTTTTGTTGAGAATGTATTGTTGTGTGTAAAAATCGTTTTCTTTTTTGGGAAAGGTGTTTCAATGTCCTTGGTAACCCCAGTTTATTTTGCAGTGTATTTTTGGATATTATGGATTTTCTTAATTGGTAATATTGTGCATACTTATTTACGTGTTTTTGTTAATTTGGCAGAAAACGTGGTCTTATTTCACGGAAAATGAGTTTGATATCTCAGAATGTTGTCTCTAGAAAGAAAGTCAATTCAAAATCGGAAGATGGTGATGAGCCTCTGCTCCTGGAAGAGTCAAAAGGTGTTGAGGTTGGAGGAGAATCTGGTTTGGAGATATCACGGGTGAAGAAGAGAAAGATAGAGAAGGAAAAGCAAGTGGGAATGGAGCAAGAAAAGGAAATGAAAAAGCTAGAAAACTTTTTGTTTGGATCCCTTTATGCCCCTGTTGAATTTGGGAAGGAAGATGAGGAAGAATTCCAAGGGGAAGGTCAAAATGGTTCTGCTGCATACTTTGTGGATTGCTCTGCAGATAGAATGCTGTCTGTTTATGAAGAGGAGTCACAATTGTCAGAGGAAAGTGATGATGAAGAGGGAACACAGCAAAAGAAACCTGTCTGGGTGGATGAGGAGGAGCTGCAGACCAAGATAGATATTGCTAAAGTTAATAGGTTGAGGAAGCTAAGGAAGGAAGAGGATGAAAAATTGATTTCTGGTTCAGATTATGTTTCAAGACTGAGGGCTCAGCATGTTAAGCTGAACCCAGGTACAGAATGGGCCCAACTTGATTCACGGTCAAAGATGGGTGGCTCTTATGATGATGAATCATCAGATGAAGAAAATCAGGCAATGGTGGCTCGAGGTTATGAGGATGTTGAAGCTGTTGATGATATTCTTAGGACAAATGAAGATCTTGTTGTTAAGAGCCGTGAAAAGCTGCTGCCTGGACTTCTAGAATACTCGAGACTTGTAGATGCTAATGCTGAGGAACCCTCTAATGGTCCAATAAATTCAGTTCAGTTCCATCGCAATGCTCAGTTGCTTCTTGTTGCTGGATTGGATCGAAGGTTGAGATTTTTTCAGATTGATGGTAAACGGAATACTAAAATTCAAAGCATTTTCCTTGAGGACTGCCCGGTTCGAAAGGCATCTTTCTTACCTGATGGGTCTCAGGTTATAATAGCTGGAAGAAGAAAGTTCTTTTACAGCCTCGATTTAGTGAAAGCGAAGGTTGATAAAATAGGCCCCCTGGTTGGGAGGGAGGAGAAAAGCTTGGAAGTTTTTGAAGTTTCCCCTGATTCTAGTACGATTGCATTTGTGGGCAATGAAGGTTACATCTTGTTAGTTTCATCTAAGACAAAGGAATTGATTGGAACTCTGAAGATGAATGGAAGTGTTCGTTCCTTAGCTTTTGCCAATGACGGGCAGCAATTGTTGAGCACTGGGGGTGATGGACAGGTCTACCATTGGGATTTGAGAACAAGAACTTGCATCCATAAGGCAGTTGACGAAGGTTGCATAAATGGTACAGCTCTTTGCACTTCATCTAATGGAACTTTCTTTGCAGCGGGTTCTGACAGTGGGATAGTAAATATATACAACAGAGAGGAGTTCTTAGGGGGTAAGAGAAAACCAATCAAGACCATCGAGAATCTAACCACCAAGGTGGATTTTATGAAATTTAATAACAATGCTCAAATATTGGCAATTTGTTCAACCATGAAGAAGAACAGTTTGAAGTTGGTACACATTCCTTCATTTACCGTTTTCTCAAACTGGCCTCCAGCAAATAGGACTCTACAATATCCTCGGTGTTTGGATTTCAGTCCTGGTGGTGGTTTTGTGGCTATGGGAAATGCTGCTGGAAAAGTGTTGTTATACAAGTTGCATAATTAACCCTATGCATAGAGTGAATGTAGAATTCCAGATTTCCAATCACTGCTGACGGAGTTCTTATTTGCATATCTAAAGATTGAAGCATTTTACTTATTTCCAAATATACAAGTGTATCAATTCCCTTGCTTGCCGATTGTCATGCTGGTGAACTTCCATGACAGTCTCCTAAGAGAACAGTGCAATAAATTTTGACTTATTTTTCAGTTTCGGTCAATTCACTGAGAGGTGCATCACATTATAATTCTAGTCAATTTAGAGATTGTCCTTGTGAGTCACCCCATAGCTATAGGGTTTTCAATGTTCTGTACCTTTGTTGCAGATTGAATTTTCTGCAATGGTTTTGGTTATTGGTTTTTCTTCTTGATCATGTTGAGGCATTAAATTTTTGGATAAAAAAATTTTGTTAAGTACTTGCTTCTATGGTTACAACTTACAGTTCCAGCTTGATAGTAGTCTCGGTTTTTGCTTATGTATTTTGCGAAGAGTGCCTTGTTGCAAATACCCAATTGAATTTCATTTTGATATTTTCAATTAAGCATTTTCTTTGATTTGGATTTTGGCCGTTCGTCTTGAACTGAGCCAAACCAAACGTAGAATTAAGAAGGTTCAGATTTATCCATATTAGAAATGTTATGGTTCTGTTAAATTGATTTGACCATAGTTTATAATTTGCTATTTACTTTCTCTACCATGTTACGGCTTTGTTGTTGTAACCATTCTGATTAACTTCGAAAATCTGTTCACGCAATTAAGAAGCAACTAACAGTTCAATACAGGCATATTATACACTTGAAAATTGATCGCACAATTAGAAGCAAGGAGAACTTACATTCTATACTTATTTAAATTAACATAACATTTCTGTGAAAACGAACAAGTATGAAGGTATACTAAAAAGAAAATAAATACTAACAAATTTATTAAAACAATCCCATTTTAAAACGCTATTCTGCTCATTCCCATGTTGGACAGTGCAAAATCACGCTACAAAATTATAGAACCACTGAACCACAGGTTCTTTTGCTTGTGCTTCTCAATGGCCAAAACAAGAAATCTGTGTTAATGCATCCAACTGAAGTTCAATCAGGTGTACGGTCCCAGTTCTTTATCAATCCTTCACAAACTGTTCACTGGCAACCCAACCTGCCCAATCAGATACAATGACAAACAATATCATACTATTAATGTGTATAAAATAGTTTTACGGGATCTAGAATATTATAATGGCCCATAAAGCAACTAGATTATACCTAGGTCAGAAAAAAACCTCATGAAACCACTCAAATTTCAGAAGACAGCAAGTTTTGAAGAAAATAGAAATGTCATTTGAAGGATTCACATGTCAGCAAGCTACTATGCTAAACCCCCAGAAATATGCTTATTGAACAAAAGGAGTCGTATGGTGGGCAATGAGCGGCTTTCCTATTTAATCACAATGATTTAAAGCTTCTTCCTTTGTTAATAGATTTATATCATGTAATGATCTTCAGTGTCATTCTCAAAATATTAGTTTTTATCTAAATCTTTGGAATGATAGAAATAATAAATCAAACAAACATGTTTTTGGAAGGAAATCACAACTCTGAACAGTTCACACCTTAAACGGGCCCATGCACTGTGCAGTCGATTAATCAAACTCGATTCTTGCTAAACCCCTGCGGCAGCTTTCACCTCAGGACCAGTCATTCCCTAAAACAAATATAAGGATGGCATTTGGTACATTCAATCATGAGAGAAGTTTATAAGACTGCAGATTAGAAACTCTGTAAATTTTTTTCTCTTTCTAGGAGCAAAACATACAAATTAGTACATGTACACAAAAAAAGGTCATCTCTGACTTAAGTAATAAAACAGATCTAGGCTTGCCAATTATATAAATCCAGAATACAAATTCCTCCAATGAACACTTGGTAATAAATTATATTAATTCTATAGGACAATTTGCCAGGCCAGCAGCAGCAAAAGAATTCAATAACCATTATAATTTTTTTTCCTTTTTTTGGAACTTCTTAATAAAGATGCGCGAAAAGTGCTACTATCCTGCCATTCTTTACTTACTAAAAGATCTTTTGGTACAATGGATCAGAAGTGACTACACAACATTTATACAAACCTCTGATGGAGTGCTCTTTCTAATCTTCCGAGTAGGTGTCCTCATTGTGACGAACTCCTCTGCTGCTGTTGGGTGAATACCAACTGTTGTGTCAAAGTCTGCCTTGGTCAAGCCAGCTTTCACAGCAACCGCAAATCCCTGGAAATTCAACAATTATAAAACCACAAGACCTTAGATCTTACTAGCAGCTCACAAATTTACTAAATGAATATTGGTCATGCTGAAGCTGCAAAATACTACTTAACATGCTTATTTTAAAAGCATTTAGGGTCATCACGTAGCAGCCTTACTAAACCAAACAAAAAAGATTGACATGAATGAACATGTCTAAATTTGGTCTGCCTACATAAATTCTTCAATCACTTGCAGAAGACCATGCATTCATACCATCCATCATAAAACATCTCCTACGGGAGCTCAGACATGGTGGCCCTTGATCCTTTCTGTCCTATGGCATGTTAAGTTTCATACCTCATAACCATTATAATTATTGAGGTTCAAGATTGAGCTAGGGCTCTGGTTTGAAAAGCAAAATGAGCCTTTCAGATTGACCATTGAAATTCATGAACTTACTGAAAAACCTTAAAGAGTATTCTGGATCTTAAGAACTATCTTGAGAGCTTCGTCCATAAAAAAATCAGTTACAGCATTTTAATTGAGGTAGAAACCTGCACAATTTCAGGCGCATCTTCTCCACACATGTGCAAACCCAGAACCTTGTTTGTCTTTGCACATACTATAAGTTTCATGAACACGCGGTCTGGAAGCCCTGAGAGAGTAGCTTTTAATGGTCTGAAGTTTGCTGTGAAGACATCAATATCACCATATTCTTGTATAGCCTGTGCAGTTCTAGAAACATTAATAACAAGAGACTAATTGCAACTGTTGCAGACATGCAAACAAAATAATTAGTCACCTGTTCTTCAGAAAGACCAACTTGTCCAATTGGTGGTTGGCAAAACACAGCAGACGGAACAGCTCTACTCTCAAGGAAGAAAAATTGTTTAGAAGTTATTAGTTAGCAAGCAATTCACATCACAGAATCTTGAAACACACATATTCTTGAGAAGTTAACTGAGAGTTAAATCACTTGAAAGAAAGGGGGAATCAATTTGTCAAAGAAGAGGACAATCTAGTTATTACAATTGGTTATAAAGTTCTAACATGAAAGAGCTAAATCCATATTTCAACTATTACATGTCTGTAGAGAAGCAAACATTAATCCAACAAATAAAAAATCATTATATGGCTCTAAATTAGCATTATCCAACTTCTCTGGATGTTGTAATAATCTTCTCCAGAAAATAAAAATAAAAATAAAAAAATGAAGAAAAGAATAATAATTAAATAAAAAAAATCCCCAATTTATTTTTTAATGAAGGCACACATAGATTTACTGACAAATACAATGTTTCAACAATATCTCTCTCTTCAATCACTTGTTAACAAAAAAATTTATATTACCTATAATCAGGTTTTGTTGGTTCATCCTGAAACAGAGTTTTTGCTAGAGCCCCACCCTCCATTAAAGCAACTGGAGTCAAATTTATTCTATCTGTAACATCTCCAACTGCCCAAATGGAAGGAACAGAGGTACGAGAGTATTCATCAACCTGAGGAAACAATGAACAGAAAAACTAGATAAGATAAACCACCACAGAAAAAGCAGAAAATAAAATAAAATAAACAAGAGATGCACCAAAGCAGTGGGAACAGTACCTGTATTGCTCCATTCTTGCTCATTTTAACACCCACCTTTTCCAATCCTAAGTTCTGCAATGAAGCAGAAACTCATATAATATCTAACTCATATGCTTCAACATTCTTCTCTCAAATATAAAACTTAGAAACAAAACATAAAAACATAAAAGTATCAGTGTGGTACAGATTAGGCATCTTAATGTTCGCATTGTCACCTTTGACAAAGATTTGAATCAAAGTATGATGCATGATTGCAAACCTTGAAGATAAAGAATCTAAGGTCCTTGTTATATTTTTTGAGGTGGGAAATACAGAGTTTATATGACATAATTAATAGCCCAATGGACCCAAGGAGGCCTACACCAAATTATAACCACTAACGAAAAAGATATTCCAAACCTTTGTATTAGGCCTGCGTCCAGTTGCAAACATAATATGAGAGAAGCCTTCAACTGTTCCTTTGTTAGTCTTGAGAGATAGTGAACCATCTGCTGACTTTAGGATAGCCTCCGGTGACTCCTCTGTGTGAAACTCAATTCCTCTCACAGACATCTGTTCTGCAACAAAGTCTCTTATCTGCAGAAACATATCGAAACAAGTTCATTTGTATAAGAAAACTTCTGTTAGACTTAACTTAATTAAGCATCTAGCATGGTTCAACACCTCTTCATCAAAACCCCTTAAAACTTTTTTCTGCCGTATAAAAACATGGACATCACTTGTCAGACCATTGAAGATGCCAGCAAACTCCAAGGCAATGTATCCACCACCAATTATTGCAATTTTCTTAGGCTTTGATGGCAAATCAAGTGCAGCATCTGAATCTATTGCATGCTCACTACCAGGAATGTCAGGAATGAATGGACGTCCTCCAACTGAGATTAGTATGTGCCTAGCTGTATAAAGTTTTCCATCTACATCGACCGTGTGCGGGTCCACAATCTGCACAGATTTCATTGATTGATTGATTCAAAACAAAAATGGATATTACATACAGCTCATGAAGCAAAGAGAAGGTACACAAAATTCTGCAGAAGAATAGACTAAATTATAAATGACCTAGACTAATCCCACCTTTCCACGACCTTCAAGTAATGTGACATTAGCATTTTTCAGAACGTTTTTGTAGATACCAGTAAGGCGCTGCAGCTCAGCATTTTTGTTAGCAATCAAAGTGCTCCAATCATGCTGCGGTTCTACCTCATATTTCCAACCAAACCCATTACTCTCATCAAATTCATGAGAAAATTTTGATGCATACACCATTAGTTTCTTTGGTACGCATCCTCGAAGGACACACCTGCATTAGAAGGAAAAAAAAAAAAACATGGAAAACCATTCACAAGCTCATAGAAAAACAGAAAATCAATACTATCTTCTACTTGGATATCTCAATACAATAGATTCAACAAAGCCAACTCCTCCTAGCTGAATTCAAAGCCACTCTCAAGTTAAGTTTGGGTTTTCCAAAAGACTGGGACAGTACAAATTGACATCACGATTATAACTCTTTCAAAGTAGGTAAAAATTATTATCATCGGAAAAATGTATGAAAATAAACAAAGTTACCACAATTATGGCAGACAACACATAATAACAGGGAAAGATTAAAAGTGAAAAGATAAGATTCTTCTAATAATAATTCAGTAATTACAACTCAGTTTCATCAAAACGTTCAGAACATACGTGCCACCAACGCCACCGGTGGTCTCAGAAGAAATTGTTGAAAACGGAAGCTCACAGACAGCAACAGAAGCGCCGAAATTAGAGGCAAAACGTGATGCACGGACGCCGCCACTACCGGCGCCAATAGTGAAAAGGTCGAAGTCGTACTGACGAGCGGTCTCAGCTCCATTCTCGGACTCGGCTCGAACGGAGAAATGACGACGTTGATGATGTTGACCGTGGTGGTGGTGGCTCTGAACGTAAGAAAGAGAAGGAGAAGCTAGGGTTTTAGGAAGAGAGAGAAAGTGAGAAGAAATTGGAAGTGAAATCGGCAGCCTTTTGTAGAAGAAGGTGGTAGTGAGCTTTGGAGTAGTAACGGATGTCGCCATTTTTTTTTTTTAAATTTTAATTTTTGATTTCTCCCTTCTTATGTTTGTGTTGTGTTGTATTATCTTAGTGGATTGATGATGATGAGAAATGTAAGTGTGTAGACGTATACAGTTAACGGTTCCCAGTCAAACCAGGCTTCCTATTTTCTAGACCGTTCGTGGCGTGGGGTCCAATTGGTATTAGCATCAACCAGTTAAGAGGCTTTTTGATGAAATATAAGCAAAAGACAAAGGACATGTTCCCGCCCAAAGATTAGCGGGATGGTAAGTTTCCAGTATGGTTTCATATATTTCAGATTCTCACTCTTAAATTAATAAAAAATTGTTTTATGTAACAATTAAAGTATAAAGTGATCATTTGTAAGCCTAAGTAAACCCAAATTCAAAACACAAAAACTCTCTCACAATCACCGACCACTATGGCCTAGTTGGCTCCCGTAACTCCTAAATTGCGTGGTGAGTCACAACTACACAAGTTGCAATCGATCGTGATCAACCAATATCACAACACTTCATACAAACAACACCAAAACAATCGAAACTTCCAAAAATCAGCTTCCAGAAAACCGTCTCCAAGCCACTCAAAATACAACTATTTGTGAAACAGCCAAATAAGCACCAGATGGCGAGCGGTGAGCGATCAAGAGCTAGAAGGTTAGGGGTTTTGTTAAGGGGTTGATGGTGAGTCTTGGGGTGGTGTCAATTTTGATTTTGGTAGCCGGAAATTGCTAGAAACCAGCAAGAGAGAATCACACGAACCCTGGTGGTGGCTGGCGAATGGTGAACGATCAGGGGCTAAAAGGTTAGGTGTTTTGTTAAGGGGTTGATGGTGAGTCTAGGGGTGGTGTCAATTTTGATTTTGGTCATTGGAAATCGCCAAAATCCGACAAGAGAAATCGAGCGAACCCTAGCGACGACTGGCGTAAAATTGGGTGGAATCAGGTGGGAAAAGTGGGGGTTTTGGAGATGGAAGGATGATGGTGCTTGTGGTAGTGACGGGAAAGGCCAACAAAGTCGGAATCAAGCTAGATCGGGCCTGAACCAAGAGATGTGTGGCCAGAGAAAGGTTAGGGTAATGGCCAAAATCAACGAAAATGGAAAATTGTTTTAGATTTTGGATCTGGGGTGTTTTGATTTCACGGTATGAAATTTGGATCTAGGTTTGATGTTGGTCATGGCAACATCAGCAATAGTTGATGGAGTTTCTGGCGACAGAGACTAGGTGGTGGTGACAATGATAGTGGTTGGATGGTTAGAGATGGGGATGATATGAAGGTTGAAAATGTAACACCCACATCGAGGTACGTAATTTTATTTATACCCCAATACCCTGTTGAATTTCTTTGGGGTTTATCTTAGACAAATGTGAAGAAAATTCTTTAAAACTTTATTAGGGGTAAAATAGTATTTTCACTCATAATTAGATGAAAAAGTGGAGAGTGAAATGAAGTAAAATAATGTGAAGAAGATAATAGAAATGAGGGTATTAGGTAATTGACTAAAAGACATCAATGAAATTTCTTAGAAAGTGCAAGGGCAAAATGGGAATGTAAATGTGTGTGTGTATATATATATTATTATTAGTTTTAAGGCTTCAATAGACAAAACCCTAGCCATTCTCATCCCTTGTACATGCCACCCCTTATCCATTTTCTCTTAAACTTCTTCATCAAATTTTAAAGAGAATTCATAGGGTTTAGCTTAAATTTTTGTAGATTTTCAATCTTAAAGCATCCAAAGATAAGATTCTAGCACAAAGGTGTGTGATTAAGTTTTAAAGTTCTAAATTCTTATCGTTATATATGATTTAGGTCTAAGAGGAAGAGAATTTTAGCAAAAGGATGTTATATCACTAGTGTTGTATAAATTCAAGGTAAGTAAATACAATTTTAGCTTTGATTTGAGCAATAATTGTGTAAATTGATTCTTGTGTGTTTGTATGTGATGTATCGTGGGAATTATTGGCTGTTTTAATGTTGAATGATGTGTAAAATTCCAGCCATGAAGAGTAGTTCATGTTCATGTGTATGTGGTAATTTGATGGAATTATGGAAGAATTGTTGATGGAATTTTGAAGTGTTGAATCTAGCCGGATTTGAAGTTAAGTTTAGTGAGTTTTTGCTTCAATTTTGGTGGATTTAGAGAGATGTGGAAGTGTGGCCAACTAAGTATTTGTATGTATATGTAAATTGTTTGATGAAAATTTAAAGAGAAATGCATGCATAAGTGTTAAATCTTATTGAAGAAATTGTTAGAGAAATAAAAGAATTGAGGTTGAAAGGTTATGTTAGACTTGACCAAGTGTAAGTTTTAGTATTCAAGAGTGCCTTTTGTTATACCAAAATTTATAATATCGCTTGGTCATGTTAGTTCAATGAGATAAATGATTTTTAGTGTATGGCTCAAGTTACTTGAACCTTTAGTATTTTTTGAATAACACATTGTATTTAGTTATTGAATTATAAATTGTGAAACTTATGACTTTGGAAAAGTGTTAGAAGAGAATTGTATGTTAAATTGTTACTTTGATATAACATTGTTGATAGTAGAGAACGGTAGATTATGTCATAGACATATCAATATGCCATAATAAATTCTCAAGTTTGTGTACTTGAATTTGAAAAGAACATCAAAGAATGGGTTTGACCATACATATATTGTGCATATCATCCATATATACTTGATTTTGGTAAGTGAGAATATTAAGGAAAATGTTAGCAAAAAGTGAGAGAAGGAAAGAAAAGAAAATTGCTTTGTAGATTCATTTTAAGCTAACATGTAAATATATATATTTTCCTACTTATTAAAGAATATAATTGTAGAATTTCCATAACTTGGAAATTTATATATATATCTATATATATATAATAATCTTTTTCAGAGATATAGAATGTTATGTTAGAAGATTGTTGCGATGGGGAACCCATGAGTGACAGAAATGTAGAAAATACCTACATGCACACCACCATCAGTGAGTGACCTCAAAATAGAAAAACAGAATTTATACAGTCCGTTAGAAGTGCATGTGGGTGAGAATTGTACTCATAAAGAATTTTAAAATACACTCACACGGCTAGGTTCCAAATCCATGTCTCAGCCTAGTCCGATCGGTAGTGGCGGATCTAGGAATTTCCTTCGATGGGGGCAAAATATAAATAAATAAATAAAAAAATTAAAACCAATCATAACTACACTTTTTTTTTTTTCATTATAATGAGCTTCAATAAAAAGTTATAAAATACAAATAAATATCTTCAAAAAACACAATTTTTGTAAAAGTAGAACAATTTTTCTAAAATTGTCCTTGACTAGTTTTCCTATTCTGAAAACGTTGGATAATCATCTCATTGTCAATTGTATCAAATACATTTTTCTCAATATAGATGATCAAGCAATCATTCATCCATTGATCTCCCATTCGATTGCATAACCGATTTTTCACAAGATTCATTGTAGAAAAAACCCTTTCAACAGTCGCAATCACAACTAATAAAACCAATGCAACTTTCACAAGCTTATACACCAACGTATGCAAAATTTCTTTTTTAAACCGAACTAAATTCTTAACCAAATCACCAATTCTTTGTAACTCAGCAAATTTATCACAAGAATGTATGTCAATAACATAAATCTCAATCTAGTTCTCAAGTACTATCAACTCAAGTACAGAAAAATCAAATAGATAAAACTGACCAAACCCATTTCCTTTTCCTTTGCTTCTTCTTTTCTTCTTTTTTATGGGTTTTTCTCTCTTTTTCTTCATTTTTGACAAACAACCCAATTTATATATAAAACAACTTCTTTGAATTATGAAACTGCCCCAAGATTCTCTTATTCTCACAATGACCTCACCACATTAGCTTTCTGATGTAAAAATGCCCAGATTTCTCCCCTCAGTTAAATGCAAACCCAACAGTTCTTATTTCTTTCATTTTCACTCCTAATAAAACTTTTAAAAACTAACAGATCCTCTTGCATAAAAATAAAAATCACAAAAAATATGAAATATATATACTCGGATTAAAAATAGGGTTTTACAAAAATAAAATCTAAAAAAACAGTGAGGACTGTTCCCAAAATCTCATAATTCTATAAGTGTAAAATTTAAATAAATATAAGATATGGACTTTTTTCAAAAGTTGAGTGGGGACTCTAGTCCCCACAAGTCATTAATTGGATCCGCCACTGCCGATCGGCAAACTAGAATAGAATAAAGAAAAAGAAAGAGAAATAGAATAAGAGACAGAAAACAGAAAAGAAAATTTGATATGTATTATGCTACTTGCATTGATTAGAATTTTATATTTGCTCGAATATATTCATTTATATTAATTCTTCTTGCATGTCGGTAAGTAGCAAATTAGAATAATAGAAAAGAATAAAGAATAATAGAAAAGAATGAAGTGAGAAAGGAAAGCCAGAATATGAGTAACGGAGAAAAAACAGTAGTGTAATTTGGTTTACTCACTGAGCGATTAGTGTTCATTTCGTTATTTTACTGTTTTGCATAAATGAAATACGGTCCGGTGAAACGTCAACAAGCGGAGGAGTTTGACAGTACTGTCCAAGAATATTTTGTACCTATTAATGTAAAATTAGTTGTTTTATGTAGAGAAATATAAATTAAAGTTAGTGTTTTTTTTTTGTTTTTAATTCATATATATATTCTAAGAATATTTAGTGGATTGTATCATTTATCTCTCAAATAATTACTAGCTAGAGAATTTATTACAGAAAAGAAGAATGTTATTGAAATAAATTTGAAAGTAAGATGATTATTTTTCTAATTCTACTAATTTGGGAGTTAAAAAATAATTTATTAATTTATTTGTTAAGGGTATCTATGTCTGAAACTAAAAATTACTAATGATATTACTTTACAGGTAAAAATTTAAAATATATGAAACCAGAGGTGAAAACTTACAATTTCGCTAATTTTTGGGTGAGAATAATACATTAATTTTTTAAGGGATTTTTTATATTTAATAGTAAGATTTTAGTAATTTTAGGGTTATTGAATAAATACTTCTTAGAAATCGTTGGAATCACATGAGATTTTATTATTCCTAAAAAATGAATGAAATTAACCCTTTAATATGCATTATAATTACACAATTAAAGAGAAGCATAAAATTTTGATGATATCATAACATTAACATCAATTCATAATTTCATCGAGAAAGTATGTTTATATAAGTAAAATTTTATTTTGTGCATGTATAATTGGGTATGAAGAATTGCACAATTATAGATTAAAATAAAGAAATGGGTTTCATATTAAAAGTATAAAAATGTAAAGATACCTTCAAATTAGCTATTTGTGGCGAGTCAGAGACTTTTAAAATCAAGCCAGGTAGCCAACAAAGGGAGACATTATGAATCACAAGGTCCGAGCTCCACTCAAACTTCAGCTTTCTTAGACGATAATATGAAACTGTAATTAGCGGCTCATTAATTCCTTGTTGACAACCTGGGAGTAGAAATTTTGCGACTACATATAATAACAAATTAAAACTAGCTATCATCAAAATTTCCTATTCAAGTGATTTAGAATATTGAACTGAAACCAAGTCGAGAGTGGTTTAATTTCCGCATTTTCAAGCAGAAATAATGTACCAAGCATAACAGAAATACTACCGCTGCTTCGGTTCCGCTTCATAAAATTATGTCACAAGCATCCTACCACCATGAAACGGGGCCCAAACCATCATAATCAATCGATCCCTGCAAAACGAAGTGTCAACTAATAATTAGACCAATGTATATAGCCAGATAACACACTGACTCAATAAAACCAATAATATCAGGTAACATTTGAATTTATTTATGCATTGAGACACATCTTAAATGTGTTTCAAATTCAGAAAAAGGGGTGATTTTCATAAAACTCACTAGCATAGACATGTCATGAATTCAAAATCTAATTAAACCTGTTAGAATAAAAGTTATGAAATTTGATTAGACCCTTCTTAGTGAATTCTTTTACCCATTGTATGTTGACGACGAGTTTTCAATTAACATTGCAGTGACATACAAACTCTTATTATAAGTCTCAAAGCAACCTGCCAAGATTTTAGATCACACTATCTCTAGAAAGTAGCAATCTTAACGACAAGATACATATAAACCTAGTAGAGACAGATATTAAGCCAACAAACAAAACGATAATATAGATAGATTACAGTTCAGTTCCAGTTGAAGCATCATGACAACTTTCTAGAAGAAGGAAAAAGAAGAAAGAAAGAATACATTCTAGTTAGCTGGCCATTACGCTCACTAGAAAACATTCTATAAAACCTTCAAAGAAAAATAAGGACCAAAAAAATGAGAAACCCAGAGGCAATCACCAGTCAATAACAAGTTTGAAAGATGTACTTACAGTCACTACCATAGGGGCAAATGGCTTTGATCCTTCAGGTTGCTCAATAGGAATTGGCGGATACTTAACACTGAGAACTCGAAACTTAATCTGACATTCAATAAATCTAATGTCAGCAAATATATGCAAACTAGAAGTTTGAGTGTGTATATATATATATATATATATTATAGCAATTGCACAACAATATAAACCTCGTCTATCCCATCGATCAGGTATTTTGTATCTCCAAATTCCCATATCCATCGGACATCGTACCTGCAGTAATAATCATAGCAAAGTTTTACTGAACAAACAAATGTAAACAGAAGGCAGACAAAAATATAACCAGAAATGAATATGAAAGTTTTTCAAAATGTACAATTTAACGGCAATTCTAGAGTATAACAAGCCAGAGAAGGACTCAGTCACACCTTTTATCAGGGTCAGGCTCGGATCGAGATGGACTTGGCAAAAGATGAGAAGGAATGTAAATATCATCAAAAAATCCAAGAGATACTGCCAAATATAGCAGGGAGATTTCACAACAAAATTCAATTAGTTGCTTCACTAAAGGTACCAATATAGTTAATGTTCAAAAGCAAACTTGCAGTATAATAAAGAAAAGACAAACAAAAAGGCATAACAATTCTGTAAGGAAAACTACACTCAAGGTTTAAATTTATCCACAATCCATCCGTCCGAAGTGAAATTTCACTATTATGAAATCTATGATAAAGTTAATATATTAGTTCAAGAAAATGTCCTGTAGATCAGTTTTACTTGACAGATCTGGGAGGATTCTTCAAGCCATATACAGCCAAAGTTTCCTCTACTGAGTAAAGATGACTAGATTTCTATTCTCGTTAGAAGTGTGCAAGTTTTTAGGGTAGAACCAGAGTCGACAAGTACCTAGGGTGTCAGTTGTTTGGTGGAACCGGCACTGTGCAGTTCCTGTTCCGGTTCTGGTTCCACCACTTTAGGAACCGTAATCGGAACCAAGGTTTGGCTACCCAGCATGGAGCCGATGGGGTATCTGGGGTGTATTTGTAATTCCTGTAAACAGTTGGGGGTGTACTTGTAATATTTACAGGGTATATTTGTCATTTTTGTGAACAATAGGGGTGTATTGTAATTTTATGTGAACAGTGTCGGGTACCCGGAGCTGGAACCTGTGGTTCAGATTCCAGTTCCAGGCATTTAGGAACCGGAACCCACTGCGGTTCCAATGCTTGGGACGGGTAGCTGGACCCGCCCACCCCTAAATTATTTTATCATGGCTCAATTTCATCATCCCAGTCAGGGAAGTCAATTCCCAACTAATACTTGCCACCATCAACGTGTTCCATGCAATCCCAAGTTTTATTTAAGGGAAAACAACAAACAGAGACATTCTGACAAAAATGAGCATATATGTAAGGACAAAATATTGTAGTAAGGCAACAGAAAATGTGTACTGTCCTGTACTTTGGCAAAGAAGAACGCTAGAGAGATAGAAGAGAATTAATACAGCTGCATCAGAAGATGGAAACACGTTGAGTTGCCTGGCACTGATAGAAAGACTCAATCTTATCGGGAAAAAAAAAAGCTGCTACTGAATTCAGCAACACCACAAGGCTTCAATTTCGACCATTAATCATTCAAGAATACCACAAGGACGCTTCAATTGCAGCCACAAATATCAGTCAAGAATGTATGTACAAAAAGTAGGAGATCAGGGAATTCTCTCTTCAAAAATAGGTTACTTCGATGAACCAAGGCTAAAACCCTTATTAAACAAATAAGGTTTTTTTTTTTTTTTTTCCCCAACAGGCAAGCAAAGATCAACCCCTCAAATTACGAGCACAAGATGATAAAGATTGCAATCAAACACAATCTTTAACCGAGGAAATGGATTGAACCCTAAGCCTTGCAATCAGTGACAACCAGCATATCCATGAGATGATGATGGGAACTCAACCAAAACAATCAAAATACAGTTCAATAACACTCAGGACAACCAATAAGTAACAAGCAATCTGTATATATTGATATGATAATAGTAACAAGATGGTAAGAAAGAAACAGAGCAAAATGATAAACAGCAAAATAAGGGAGTACTTAGCACTTCGAGAAGCTAGCGGCCTCCCAACAAAGATCCAAAATATTCAATATCCTCCACACGCTTTTTCCCTCTCTTATATACAATAATGAAGTCATGCCCAAATTACCCTTTTCTAAATCCACGTGGAATATTCCACACTAACTAACTCTCTTCTCAATTACCCTTTCTGCCCCTTCCTCTCTTCTTCTTGTAAATCTTAGTTATAGGAGGTTTATCAGATGACCAGCAGAGCACTGTGCTCAACAGGACCTAAGACTCAAAAACTCATTTTGAGTTATAATTTACCATTCATAGATAAGAGAGTTGTCCTCCTAAACCATCCTTGTGTAGAAATCTTGGCATAGGTTTGAAGGAGAGATAACAACAGAAGACAATCAGTTGAAAGAATAAAGCCTGAATTTTATGGACAATCAAAGATGTCTTCCCAACTGAACAAGACCATCAAGTCCTATGGAATCACAACCCAAAGACTATCCAATCTACAGTCCTTATTGGAACTCCTTAGCAAAAAACCATGAAACTAGAAGGTTAAACTCCCCCTCCAGCCCTCGAGAAAATTAAAGGAGCAAATCCATCCATATGATACATACTTCTTAAAAAGGTATATAAAAAAATAAGGAAAATATTACAAGTGGATGCATATCTAGAGTAGATCACAACAAAATAAGGTACTGAGATCGTAATTATTTTATCCATATTTTGAGTTGTATTTGGGAAAAGTGTTTGTTTTATTATCTACATAATAGAATCCTGAAAAATCTTTTCCGACATTTTGCTGACAGCTTTTTGACCTTTTTGAATTTTTTCGCAGACGCATCTCTTTCTTCTTTCACACCTTCACCTGTTTTTTCAGTCCTTTTTCACGGTTCGTCATTTCTTCTTTCACGCTTCTTCATTCTTCTTACTACGGGTAATGAATAAGTATATTGTGATCGTTAAAACGGGATAGAATATGGACGAAATGGAGAGGAGAGTCAACACAATAAGGTATTATAGACAACATAACAAACTGTACGTGATAACATAACGAATACACTGTGAGCCGCACAGTAGACCATGTCGTAGTTGTTTATGAAGTTACGTGTAATAATGATTATAGGGTTGAAATTGTACTTTTGTTATATAGTATTAATGTGATTTAAACAGTGGATTAGTACTTGAAATTAATATGGGTTTTGTTTTTTAATATATACGAGTGACAAAATTACCAAACAAATATTTAGTATAATTAAAATGTAACTGATAAGATTATATATTATAATACATTATTTTAACAAAACACAATAAAATATTATATTAATAAACATTTATAAAAAAATATATAATCAAATATTCAACACAAATATCAAGGTCAAAATACTCTACCAACACATATTTTACAAATCATATTCTTGTAATCATAACCTATCCAACTATCCAATACTATCTCCAAAATCCATCCAAAATTATAAATCAAACGTACCTTATATGTCATAATAAATTTTCAAGTTTGTTTACTTGAATTTGGAAAGAACATCAACAAATGGGCTTGGCCATACATATATTGTGCATCATCTATATATACTTGATTTTGGTAAGTGAGAATATTAAGGAAAATGTTAGCAAAAAGTGAGAGAAATAAAGAAAAGAAAATTGCTTTGAGATTCATTTAAGCTAACATGTAAATATGTATATTTCCTACTTATTAAATCATATAATTGTAGAATTTCCATAACTTGGAAATTTATTTAGAAATATATATAGAATCTTCTTCAGAGATATGAATATTAGTTAGAAAGTTGTTGCAATGGGAAACCTGTGAGTGATAGAGATGCAAAAAATTCCTACATGACACCGTCATCAGTGAGTGGCCCCAGATAGAAAAACAAAATTTGTACAATCTATTCGAAGTGCATGTGGATGAGGATACCCAGAAAGAATTTCAGAATACACTAACATGACCAAGGTTTCAATCCATGCCTTAGCCTAGTCCGATCGGAAAACCAGAATAGAATAAAGAACAGAAACAGAAACATAATAAGAGACAGAAACAGAAAAGAAAATTTGTTTTAGAGAAAGTTTATTTATTTTGCATATGTATTATGCTACTTGCATTGAATTAGATTATATTGTGCCCGACTATATTCATTATTTAATTGTTTTTACATATCGGTAAGGAGCAAATAGAATAATAGAAAAGAATGAAGGGAGAAAGGAAAGCCAGAATATGAGTATCAAAGGAAAACAGTAGTGTAGTTTGGTTACTTACAAAGCGATTAGTACTCACTTCGTTATTTTACTATTTTGAAAGTACTAGATGAAATATGGTCGGGTGGGTGGGACGTCAACAAGCAGACGAGTTTAGCAACACTGTCCAAGAATATTTTATACTTATTAATGTAATTAGTTGTTTTATGTAGAGATAATAAATTAAAGTTAGTGTTTTTTGGGTTTTTTACTTCATATATATTTCTAAGAATATTTGTGGGTTTATTCATTTATCTCTCAAAGATACTAGTTAAAGAATTTATACAAAAAAGAAGAATGTTATTGAAATAAATTTGAAAGTAAGATGATTATTTTCTAATTCTACTAATTTGGGGTTAAAAAATAATTTATTAATTTATTTGTTAAGGGTATCTATGTCTAAAACTAAAAAACTAACGATGTTACTTTAAAGGTGAAAATCTAAAATATAGAGACCAGAGGTGAAAACTTACAGTTTCGCTAATGTTTGGGTGAGAATTACATTAATTTTTTTAAGGGATTTTTATATTTAATAGTAAGATTTTAGTAATTTTAGGGTTATTGATAAAAACTTCTTAGAAATCGTTGGAATTGTATGAGATTTTATTATTCCTAAAAATAATGAAATTAACCCTTTAATATGCATTAATTACACAATTAAAGAGAAGCATAAAATTTTGATGATATCATAACATTAACAGCAATTCATAATTTATCAGAAAGTATGTTTATGTAAGTAAAATTTTATTTTGTGCATGTATAATTGGGTATGAGAATTGCACAATTATGCTTAAATAAAGAAATGGGTTTCATATTAAAATAAAAATGTAAAGATACCTTTAAATTAGCTATTTGTGGCGAGTCAGAGACTTTTAAAATCAAGCCAAGTAGCCAACAATGGGGACATTAGAACACAAGTCGAGCTCCACTCAAACTTCAGCCTTTTAGACGATAATATGAAACTGTAATTAGCGGCTCATTAATTCCTTGTTGACAACCTGGGAGTAGAAATTTTGCGACTACATATAACAAATTAAAACTAGCTATCATCATTTCCTATTCAAGTGATTTAGAATATTGAACTGAGTCTGAAACCAACGTGAGTGGTTAATTTCCACATTTTCAAGCAGAAATAATGTACCAAGATAACAGAAATACTACCGCTGCTTCGGTTCCGCTTCATAAAATTATGTCACAAGCATCCTACCACCATGAAACGGGGCCCAAACCATCATAATCAATCGATCCCTGCAAAACGAGTGTCAACTAATAATTAGACACTGTATATACCCAGATAACACACTGACTCAATAAAACCAATAATATCAGATAACATTTGAATTTATTTATGTAATGAGACACATCTTAAATGGTATTTCAAATTCAGAAAAAGGGGTGATTTTCATAAAACTCACTAGCATAGACATGTCATGAATTCAAAATCTAATTAAACCTGTTAGAATAAAAGTTATGAAATTTGATTAGACCTTCTTAGTGAATTCTTTTACCATGTAGTTGACGACGAGTTTCATAACATTGCAGTGACATACAAACTCTTATTATAGTCTCAAAGCAACCTGCCAAGATTTAGATCACACTATCTCTAGAAGTAGCAATCTTAACGACAAGATACATATAAACCTAGTAGGACAGATATTAAGCCAACAAACAAACGATAATATAGATAGATTACAGTTCAGTTCCAGTTGAAGATCATGACACTTTCAGAAGAAGGAAAAAGAAGAAAGAAAGAAAATTAGTTAGCTGGCCATTACGCTCACTAGAAAAAATTCTATAGAGCCTTCAAAGAAAATAAGGACCAAAAAAATGAGACACAGAGGCAATCACCAGTCAATAACAAGTTTGAAAATGTTTACAGTCACTACCATAGGGGCAAAGGCTTTGATCCTTCAGGTTGCTCATAGGAATGGCGGTACTAACACTGAGAACTCGAAACTTAATCTGACATTTAATAAATCTAATGTCAGCAAATTATGCAAACTAGAAGTTGAGAATATATATATATAGCAATTGCACAACAATTAAACCTCGTCTATCCCATCGATCAGGTATTTGTATCTCCAAATTCCCATATCATCGGACATCGTACCGCAGTGGGGTGTTTTGATTTCACGGTATGAAATTTGGATCTAGGTTTGATGTTGGTCATGGCAACATCAGCAATAGTTGATAGAGTTTTTGGCGACAGAGACTAGGTGGTGGTGACAATGACAGTGGTTGGATGGTTGGAGATGGGGATGATATGAAGGTTGAAAATGTAACACCCACATCAAGGTATGTAATTTTATTTATGCCCCAATACCCTTAGTCGAATTTCTTTGGAGTTTGTCTCAGACAAATGTGAAGAAAATTCTTTAAACTTCATTAGGGGTAAAATTGTCCTTTCACTCATAATTAGATGAAAAAGTGGGGAGTGAAAGGAAGTAAAATAATGTGAAGAAGATAATAGAAATGAGGGCAATTAGGTAATTAACTAAAGAATATAGATGAAATTTCTTAGAAAATGCAAGGGCAAAATACCCTAGCCATTCTCATCCCTTGTACACGTCACCCCTCATCCATTTTCTCTCAAACTTCTTCATTAAATTTTAAAGAGAATTCATAGGGTTTAGCTTAAATTTTGGTAGATTTTCAATCCTAAAGCATCCAAAGGTAAGATTCTAGCATAAAGGTATGTGATTAAACTTTAAAGTTCTAAATTCTTATCGAGCATTTGGTTGAGGGTTATGTGGGATTACTGGAGTTAAGTCATCTTATATTACTTGATTATCATGTTTGGTTGTCAAGTAATATAAGATACCGGTAATCTTCAACTACTAATAGTGGTTACTATTGGTAATATTTGAGGTAATCTGATTACTTCTATTTTCTTAGATATTCTAAGATTACCAGGATTATCTTTTTTTGTTACAATTTTATTCCTTATTAATAAAAGTTTTGGACAATAATGTCTCTATTTAAAAATAAATTTACATTAATATCCTATTTCAATTTTACCCTTGTTTAATTAAAATTTTGGACAATAAAGCCCTTATATTTAAAACAATTTACAGACCACCGCTGCCACCCAGCCACCACCCCCGATAGTGGGCCAACCACCACGGACTGCTGCCGAAAAGTCGTCGGAGTCCCTAAAAAAGAACAAAATTTGGTGGGAGGCTTCAGGAGACTTTGATATGGCCGTTTCTAGCCATATTGATGGTTGAAAACGGCCAGATCTGGCCATTAACGGTCACGGACATGGCCGTTAATGGCCAGATCTATTATGGCTGGAATAGATCTAGCTGGAAATTGCCAGAATAGATCTAGCCGGAAATAGCCAAAATAGATCTAGTCATTTTCGGTCAGATCTGGCTTGATATGGCCGTTTTGGGCCATCAATATGGCTAGAAACGGCCATATCGGAGCCTCTTGGTCACAGTGAGCTACTCACGGGGACTTTCGGAGACTTCCGACAGTGGTTTACGGTGGTGGCAGGAGGTGGGGGTGATTTCATCATAAATTAAAGTTTTATATAAGCGGGAGTGTTTTAGCTAAATCTGAAATATTGGGGGTTAAAAAATATATTCAAAAATTAATATTATATTAATATTTAAAAAGGGAACAATTTAATAATTTAAATAACATACCCACCAATTTATTCCTCATAACCAAACATATTAATATAACATACCCACCAACTAACCAAACACATTTTCCTAAAGATTCTTAGTAATCTTCAAGGTAATCTATCTTTTCAGTAATTCAACATCCCTAGTAATCTAACATTCCCTGAACCAAACGCCCCCTTATGGTTATATATGATTTAGGTCCAAAAGGAAGAGAATTTTAGCAAATGGAGGTTATATCACTAGTGTTGTACAAATTCAAGGTAAGTAAATACAATTTTAGCTTTGATTTGAGCAGTAAGTGTGTAGATTGATTCTTGTGTGTTTGTTTGTGATGTGGGAATTATTGGCTGTTTTAATGTTGAATGATGTGTAAAATTCCATCCATGAAGAGTAGTTCATGTGTATATGGTAATTTGATAGAATTATGGATGAAATATGAAAGAATTGTTGATGGAATTTTGAAGTGTTAAATCCGGCCAGATTTGAAGTTAAGCTTAGTGAGTTTTTGCTCTAATTTTGGTGGATTTGGAGAGATGTAGAAGTGTGGCCAACTAAGTATTTGCATGTGCATGTAGATTGTTTGATGAATATTCAAAGAGAAATGCATGCATAAGTTTGATAAATCTTATTGAAGAAATTGTTAGAGAAAGGAAATAATTGGAGTTGAAAGGTTATGTTAGGCTTAACCAAGTGTAAGTTTTAGTATTCAAGAATGCCTTTTGTTATATCAAAACTTAGAATATCTTTTGGTTATGTTAGTTCAATGAGATAAATGACTTTTATTGTATAATTCAACTTACTTGAACCTTTAGTATTTCTTGAATATCACATTGTATTTAGTTATTGAATTAGAAATTGTGAAACTTATGACTTTGGGAAAGTGTTAGAAGGGAATTGCATGTTAAATTGTTACTTTGATATGACATTATTGATAGTAGAGAATGGTAGATTATGTCATGACATATCAATGGCTGCATTTGGATAATTATTTTTATCCATATTTTGAGTCTGATTTTGGGAAAAGTGTTTGTTTTATTATCTACATAATAGAATCCTGAAAACTCTTTTCCGACATTTTGCTGACAGCTTTTTGACCTTTTTGAATTTTTTCTGCAGACGCATTCTCTTTTCTTCTTTCACACCTTCACCTGTTTTTTTCAGTCCTTTTTCACGGTTCGTCATTTCTTCTTTCACGCTTCTTCATTTCTTCTTACTACGGGTAATGAATAAGTATATTGTGATCGTTAAAACGGGATAGAATATGGACGAAATGGAGAAGGACCGAGTCAACCACAATAAGGTATTATAGACAACATAACAACTGTACGTGATAACATAACGAATACACTGTGAGCAGCACAGTAGACCATGTCGTAGTTGTTAATGAAGTATACGTGTAATAATGATTATAAGGGTTGATAATTAGTACTTTTGTTATATATGTATTAATGTGATGTTTTTAAACAGTTGGATTAGTACTTGAAATTAATATGGGTTTCTGTTTTTTAATATATACGAGTGACAAAATTACCAATAAAATATTTAGTATAATTAAAATGTAACTTGATAAGTTATATATATAATAATACATTATTTTAACAAAACACAATAAAATATTATATTAATAAATCATTTATAAAAAAATATATTAATCAAATATTCAACACAAATATCAAGGTCAAAATACTCTACCAAACACATATTTTACAAATCATATTCTTGTAATCATAACCCTATCCAACTATCCAATACTATCTCCAAAATCCTATCCAAAATTATAAATCAAACGTACCTTATATGTCATAATAAATTTTCAAGTTTGTTTACTTGAATTTGGAAAGAACATCAACAAATGGGCTTGGCCATACATATATTGTGCATATCATCTATATATACTTGATTTTGGTAAGTGAGAATATTAAGGAAAATGTTAGCAAAAAGTGAGAGAAATAAAGAAAAGAAAATTGCTTTGTAGATTCATTTTAAGCTAACATGTAAATATGTATATTTTCCTACTTATTAAATCATATAATTGTAGAATTTCCATAACTTGGAAATTTATTTAGAAATATATATAGAATCTTCTTCAGAGATATAGAATATTATGTTAGAAAGTTGTTGCAATGGGAAACCTGTGAGTGATAGAGATGCAAAAAATTCCTACATGCACACCGTCATCAGTGAGTGGCCCCAGAATAGAAAAACAACATTTGTACAATCTATTCGAAGTGCATGTGGATGAGGATTGTACCCAGAAAGAATTTCAGAATACACTAACATGACCAAGGTTTCAAATCCATGCCTTAGCCTAGTCCGATCGGAAAACCAGAATAGAATAAAGAAACAGAAACAGAAACATAATAAGAGACAGAAAACAGAAAAGAAAATTTGTTTCTTAGAGAAAGTTTATTTATTTTGCATATGTATTATGCTACTTGCATTAATTAGAATTTTATATGTGCCCGACTATATTCATTTATATTAATTGTTTTTACATATCGGTAAGGAGCAAATTAGAATAATAGAAAAGAATGAAGTGAGAAAGGAAAGCCAGAATATGAGTATCAAAGGAAAAACAGTAGTGTAGTTTGGTTTACTTACAAAGCGATTAGTACTCACTCCGTTATTTTACTATTTTGAAAGTACTAGATGAAATATGGTCGGGTGGGTGGGACGTCAACAAGCAGACGAGTTTAGCAACACTGTCCAAGAATATTTTATACTTATTAATGTAAAATTAGTTGTTTTATGTAGAGATATATAAATTAAAGTTAGTGTTTTTTTGGGTTTTTACTTCATATATATTTTCTAAGAATATTTTGTGGGTTTTATCATTTATCTCTCAAAGAATTACTAGTTAAAGAATTTATTACAAAAAAGAAGAATGTTATTGAAATAAATTTGAAAGTAAGATGATTATTTTTCTAATTCTACTAATTTGGGGGTTAAAAAATAATTTATTAATTTATTTGTTAAGGGTATCTATGTCTAAAACTAAAAATCACTAACGATGTTACTTTAAAGGTGAAAATCTAAAATATATGAGACCAGAGGTGAAAACTTACAGTTTCGCTAATGTTTGGGTGAGAATAATACGATTAATTTTTTTAAGGGATTTTTTATATTTAATAGTAAGATTTTAGTAATTTTAGGGTTATTGAATAAATACTTCTTAGAAATCGTTGGAATTGTATGAGATTTTATTATTCCTAAAAAATTAATGAAATTAACCCTTTAATATGCATTATAATTACACAATTAAAGAGAAGCATAAAATTTTGATGATATCATAACATTAACAGCAATTCATAATTTTATCAAGAAAGTATGTTTATGTAAGTAAAATTTTATTTTGTGCATGTATAATTGGGTATGAAGAATTGCACAATTATAGCTTAAAATAAAGAAATGGGTTTCATATTAAAAGTATAAAAATGTAAAGATACCTTTAAATTAGCTATTTGTGGCGAGTCAGAGACTTTTAAAATCAAGCCAAGTAGCCAACAATGGGAGACATTATGAATCACAAGTTCCGAGCTCCACTCAAACTTCAGCCTTCTTAGACGATAATATGAAACTGTAATTGGCGGCTCATTAATTCCTTGTTGACAACCTGGGAGTAGAAATTTTGCGACTACATATAATAACAAATTAAAACTAGCTATCATCAAAATTTCCTATTCAAGTGATTTAGAATATTGAACTGAGTCTGAAACCAAGTCGAGAGTGGTCTAATTTCCACATTTTCAAGCAGAAATAATGTACCAAGCGTAACAGAAATACTACCGCTGCTTCGGTTCCGCTTCATAAAATTATGTCACAAGCATCCTACCACCATGAAACGGGGCCCAAACCATCATAATCAATCGATCCCTGCAAAACGAAGTGTCAACTAATAATTAGACCACTGTATATACCCAGATAACACACTGACTCAATAAAACCAATAATATCAGGTAACATTTGAATTTATTTATGCATTGAGACACATCTTAAATGTGTTTCAAATTCAGAAAAAGGGGTGATTTTCATAAAACTCACTAGCATAGACATGTCATGAATTCAAAATCTAATTAAACCTGTTAGAATAAAAGTTATGAAATTTGATTAGACCCTTCTTAGTGAATTCTTTTACCCATTGTATGTTGACGACGAGTTTTCAATTAACATTGCAGTGACATACAAACTCTTATTATAAGTCTCAAAGCAACCTGCCAAGATTTTAGATCACACTATCTCTAGAAAGTAGCAATCTTAACGACAAGATACATATAAACCTAGTAGAGACAGATATTAAGCCAACAAACAAAACGATAATATAGATAGATTACAGTTCAGTTCCAGTTGAAGCATCATGACAACTTTCTAGAAGAAGGAAAAAGAAGAAAGAAAGAATACATTCTAGTTAGCTGGCCATTACGCTCACTAGAAAACATTCTATAAAACCTTCAAAGAAAAATAAGGACCAAAAAAATGAGAAACCCAGAGGCAATCACCAGTCAATAACAAGTTTGAAAGATGTACTTACAGTCACTACCATAGGGGCAAATGGCTTTGATCCTTCAGGTTGCTCAATAGGAATTGGCGGATACTTAACACTGAGAACTCGAAACTTAATCTGACATTCAATAAATCTAATGTCAGCAAATATATGCAAACTAGAAGTTTGAGTGTGTATATATATATATATATATATTATAGCAATTGCACAACAATATAAACCTCGTCTATCCCATCGATCAGGTATTTTGTATCTCCAAATTCCCATATCCATCGGACATCGTACCTGCAGTAATAATCATAGCAAAGTTTTACTGAACAAACAAATGTAAACAGAAGGCAGACAAAAATATAACCAGAAATGAATATGAAAGTTTTTCAAAATGTACAATTTAACGGCAATTCTAGAGTATAACAAGCCAGAGAAGGACTCAGTCACACCTTTTATCAGGGTCAGGCTCGGATCGAGATGGACTTGGCAAAAGATGAGAAGGAATGTAAATATCATCAAAAAATCCAAGAGATACTGCCAAATATAGCAGGGAGATTTCACAACAAAATTCAATTAGTTGCTTCACTAAAGGTACCAATATAGTTAATGTTCAAAAGCAAACTTGCAGTATAATAAAGAAAAGACAAACAAAAAGGCATAACAATTCTGTAAGGAAAACTACACTCAAGGTTTAAATTTATCCACAATCCATCCGTCCGAAGTGAAATTTCACTATTATGAAATCTATGATAAAGTTAATATATTAGTTCAAGAAAATGTCCCGTAGATCAGTTTTACTTGACAGATCGGGAGGATTCTTCAAGCCATATACAGCCAAAGTTTCCTCTACTGAGTAAAGATGACTAGATTGCTATTTTCGTTAGATGTGCAAGTTTTTAGGGTAGAACCAAAGTCGACAGGTACCTAGGGTGTTAGTTGTTTGGTGGAACCAGCACTGTGCGGTTCTTGTTCCGGTTTTGGTTCCACCACCTTAGGAACTGTAATCGGAACCAAGGTTCAGGTACCCAGGGTGGAACCGACCGGTATCCGGGGTGTATTTGTAATTTCTGTAAACAGTTGGGGGCGTACATAATATTTACAGGGTATATTTATCATTTTTTTGAACAATAGGGGTGTGTAATTTTATGTGAACAGTGTCGGGTACCCGGAACTGGAACCTATGGTTCAGATTCCAGTTCCAGGCATTTAGGAACCGGAACCCACCGCGGTTCCAATGTTTGGGCCGGGTAGCTGGGCTCGCCCACCCCTAATTATCATGGCTCAATTTCATCATCCCAGTCAGGGAAGTCAATTCCCAACTAATACTTGCCACCATCAACGTGTTCCATGCAATCCCAAGTTTTATTTAAGGGAAAACAACAAACAGAGACATTCTGACAAAAATGAGCATATATGTAAGGACAAAATATTGTAGTAAGGCAACAGAAAATGTGTACTGTCCTGTACTTTGGCAAAGAAGAACGCTAGAGAGATAGAAGAGAATTAATACAGCTGCATCAGAAGATGGAAACACGTTGAGTTGCCTGGCACTGATAGAAAGACTCAATCTTATCGGGAAAAAAAAAAGCTGCTACTGAATTCAGCAACACCACAAGGCTTCAATTTCGACCATTAATCATTCAAGAATACCACAAGGACGCTTCAATTGCAGCCACAAATATCAGTCAAGAATGTATGTACAAAAAGTAGGAGATCAGGGAATTCTCTCTTCAAAAATAGGTTACTTCGATGAACCAAGGCTAAAACCCTTATTAAACAAATAAGGTTTTTTTTTTTTTTTTTCCCCAACAGGCAAGCAAAGATCAACCCCTCAAATTACGAGCACAAGATGATAAAGATTGCAATCAAACACAATCTTTAACCGAGGAAATGGATTGAACCCTAAGCCTTGCAATCAGTGACAACCAGCATATCCATGAGATGATGATGGGAACTCAACCAAAACAATCAAAATACAGTTCAATAACACTCAGGACAACCAATAAGTAACAAGCAATCTGTATATATTGATATGATAATAGTAACAAGATGGTAAGAAAGAAACAGAGCAAAATGATAAACAGCAAAATAAGGGAGTACTTAGCACTTCGAGAAGCTAGCAGCCTCCCAACAAAGATCCAAAATATTCAATATCCTCCACACGCTTTTTCCCTCTCTTATATACAATAATGAAGTCATGCCCAAATTACCCTTTTCTAAATCCACGTGGAATATTCCACACTAACTAACTCTCTTCTCAATTACCCTTTCTGCCCCTTCCTCTCTTCTTCTTGTAAATCTTTGTTATAGGAGGTTTATCAGATGACCAGCAGAGCACTGTGCTCAACAGGGACCCAAGACTCAAAAACTCATTTTTGAGTTATAATGTACCATTCATAGATAAGAGAGTTGTCCTCCTAAACCATCCTTGTGTAGGAATCTTGGCATAGGTTTGAAGGAGAGATAACAACAGAAGACAATCAGTTGAAAGAATAAAGCCTGAATTTTATGGACAATCAAAGATGACTTCCCAACTGAACCAGACCATCAAGTCCTATGGAATCACAACCCAAAGACTATCCAATCTACAGTCCTTATTGGAACTCCTTAGCAAAAAACCATGAAACTAGAAGGTTAAACTCCCCCTCCAGCCCTCGAGAAAATTAAAGGAGCAAATCCATCCATATGATACATACTTCTTAAAAAGGTATATAAAAAAATAAGGAAAATATTACAAGTGGATGCATATCTAGAGTAGATCACAACAAAATAAGGTACTGAGATCGTTGTTAGACATACAGCGCAAACCATTGGCATCAGATTCTTTAAGTTTAGCAGCAATGATCTCTCCCACAAAGGGGCGAAACACAACCAATCTAAACTCGACCTGCCAGATGTACAAAACAAGATTGTCAACAAATTTGAAATTCACTGAGTCGGTACTGTATTTTATACAGAAAATTCATGGCACATGACAAAAATATCCTATGATCATGTATCAGAAGAAGCTGATCAATTATAAAATCAAGATCCCAAATTGCTTTTAAAAGAATTGTTAAAGAACCAAACAAGTTCACTATAAAGGTATGTCTTCCCCCCCCCCCCCCCCCCCCCCCCAAGAAAAAAAAAAAGTGTATACACAAACTAATCATAACTGTGAGAGGCTTCGCCCAAAAATAATTATTCCAAGCAATATAAAATCTAAAAATACATTCCCATTGAGGACAACTTGAAAGTTACGCGACATCGCACTTTTTCTTTTTTTCCCTTTGGAGTGAGACAATGGTTACATGCTAGTGAGTATTAAGCTTTGAATTAAAGCCTCTAATACCACGACAAAGAAGCTTTTCCACATAGTCTCAAGGGCATCTTCACTCCTCACCTTATTCATGACAAGCAAATAAATAAAACTAAACTAAACTAAAAAATCTAGGAAATATTACAAAGCACAAACTTGGAACCCAATATCTTGCACATCCCCTTAACCTAGCACTGACAAATCCAATCCAAAGTAAACAAAATTACAATACAACAAATGAAGCGAATACAACTAGCACATTAATAGCTCGTGAAAAAACCTGAAAATGATTTGATGACGTTGAGAATACATACACCTGAGATAAAAACATATTAAAGTTCATATATATACCGTATATGTGGAAGCACCTTCTCCTGGAAAAATAAATCCACCTTCAATTTTGAAGATATCATACACAGAAATGCAGAGTCCCAAGTTTGCAACAACCTTCAAAACAAAAATAATTACCTTCTTCTACATACTATCCAGCACAGTTCATAAATATCCAACAAACTTAAATTAGAAAAAAAGTGTAGAGTCAAAGTAAAGAAAAGTTCCACATACCTTATCTAAGAAAATATTTTCTAACTCTAATTTAATAGCTTCATCAAGAGGACGGCTAAGGAGATGAGGAGGCAAACGCAATGTGTGCTCAATTTTGCTAAGATAAAACATTTTCACCGTCTCCTACATTTCCAAAAAACCCAATCAATCAAAGCACATCCAATACACACCCAAATTGAAAGAGTACCCAACAAATACACACCGAAAGCGACCGTGCGCCCACCAACATCCATGAAATTCGGCGCAACTGCCACCAATTGCATCATTTTAAACAACAACAGGATCAAATTAGAAGAAAAAAATACAAACCTTTAACTACCGGTTGAGATTATTCAGGTAGGACGCGTTGAGTCGAGTAAAGGAGAGGTGGTGGAGATAGGGGTAGGGCGAGGCGGCTGTCGCCGGGGGAGGGGTGGCGGGTATCGAATTGAGGGAGAGGCGGGGCGCGAGTTGAACGAGCGTGTGCCTGCCCCGGCGGGAATGTGGAGACGGGTGGCTTTTTTTTTTTTTTCCCAATTGTAACTGCTTTTTAATTTTTAATGTTATATTGGAAATTAAAATTTTAAATTTTATATAAAAATAGGTTTGTTATATAAAAAGACAATAGTGCCCTAACGCCACATATGTCATGTGTCACAGGCTAGGAGTTTTACACCTAAAAAGCTAACTCATAAGGAACTCTCCCATTATAGGTCAAGACCTCCCCAATACACCTCCGATGTGAGATATATGATATAAGTTCTCCTCCAATCCAGAGACGAGGGTTTCGTTGTGGGATTCGTGACATTCACCCTCATCCAATCTTGTGACACCCTTATCACAAATGCTTGTCAATCTCACTCTCGAGTGAACCCGCTATCACACTTAAACGTCTCTCTACGTGGGTGTTTGGCGGTACACTGAAAGACGGATCAAATTTGCTATGATATCATTGTCACGGATTGAGAGTTTCACACCCAAAAAGCTAATCTATTAGACTAAGAGACTCCCCTCTTATAAGTTTAAGACCTCTTCAATGCGCTTTCAATGTAAAATTCGTGACATATGTCATATTAAGATAGATCATAGTGTTGACTAAAACCTTTACTAAATTCAAGTGTATTTGATCATAATTTTAGGGACTAAAGTAATCTTCTCACTTGTATGGTAAATAAGACTTAAAAAAAATTATAAATGAAATTGTAAAAGAAAAACAAAAAACCTAGACAAATATAAACCAAATGAAATAACCATTTTTTGTTTAAATAAGATAATAGCTGAAAAAACTAGAAAAATTAATTTATGTTTTGTTACTTAGTATAATATTTTTTATGAGTAATCCTCTAGACGTCTTTATAATAATTCACCCCTCGAGGCTCGAGCCCTCGTTTTTCACATGAAATTGCAAGGCTCAGTACGCATGTTTATCAATCATTTGAATTTGCTGGGTGGAGTTTATTTGAATAATAAAGGGTGCGTTTGGTTTAATATTTTGGATAGGATTTTAGGGGTAGTATTGGGTTATTGGATATGGGAGTATTACGAGGTAAATTTTAAAAATTTATAAAAAAGCCCTTAGGTTTACTAATTTAACTAAAGACCCTAACATGTAAAATGACAAAAACACCCCCACCACTGCAGTGTCAGATTCCGGCCACCACCGCCGGAATCTGACCGGAAAATTTCGTTACGGCACAGACTTGTCGGATCTGTGCCGTAACACATCGTTATGGCCTTTTCCGGCTAGATCCATGGTAGATCTGGCCGGAAAAGGCCAGATCTATGGTTTGTTTTGGCCGTCGACGGCCGGAAAAGGCCAAACGACGGCCATCTTTGGCCGTCAGCGACGGCCAAAGATGTGGCCGTCGTTTTCGGTCGACGACGGCCAAGATTTGGCCGTCGTTGACCGTCAACGACGGCCATTTCTTTGGCCGTCGCTGACGGCCAGATCTGGCCTTTTCCGGCCAGATCCGTGGTGGATCTGGCCGGAAAAGGCCACAGCGGTGAACTTCCGGCCATTTCTGGTCGGAAGTTTGGCCGTTGTACAGATTCCGGCTATCACCGACGGTGGTTGCCGGAATCTGACAAGTTGGGTTGATGGGGGTGTTTTTGTTAATTGTAAACTTTTTTTTCAGGGGGTATTTAGTGAAATTAATAACCTTATGGGGTTAAAATGTAATTAAAAAAAATAGGGTAATATTTTGAGAATATTGTACCAAACGCGATTTGAAAAATAGGATCCAGAATAGGGATAAAAATATTAAACCAAACGCATACAAAAATATTTAGTTGTATATTTATTATAACTGAAATACTGAATTATTAAAAAAAAAAAAAAAGACAAGAATGAAATAACAATTCATTTATTGTTAGTGCTTGATTTTGACACCAATGTTTTATACGTGCAAAATGTTAAAAAGTTACACATGAGCATATTATGATAAATAGGTGAGGTACCGTTTGCACAGTAACATGAAAAGACGTAAAAAATAAAGCAGTCAGTAAGATTTTTTTAATGGTTCAGATGCTTAAAGTGAATCTTATATCTACTATGTTATTTTTATATAAATATGTTTCTGGTCGTTAGACAAGATTATAAGAGGTTGCAAACTACGATCTAGTATTACAAGTGCTTAGTGTTCTAAGTGTTCTTAAAGAATGTCAAGCCAGTCTCTTTCTAGTAGTGTGTCTTTGCTATTTTATTTGTTGAATTCAAGGGTGTTTGATCCCGATTTTGTGAGAGAAAACTGCCTATTTATACCCGTTGTACTCAAAGTAATGATTACACTTTTGCAAGTGGCTTGATGTTGTACAGATCTCTCCTATCTTTCGGTTACTAAAAAAATATTCTTAAATTAAATGAGGCTTAAACAGGTGTATGAAACAAATCATTCATACACAAATTTTTGAGTCAGTTGCGTTTTGACAGTTATATTCCTTTTGCCTATGGAGATGTGACAAGTTCTAAATAGTGGAAAGCTTTATTGAACTCTAATTGGTGCTTAATGATGTCAGCATAGGTCAGCTCTTATTTTTGGCATAACATTTATTAATCCCCAATCTTTATCAATCTATAATTTTGTGTTACATTCTTCAAATATTGTATACATTTATTAAAAAAAATATCAATTTTCAATTTGAAATCAAGTATTAATCTAAATTTCTTTAAAAAACGAAATAGGGGTTTATATTAGAAATATTGTCAATTAGGGTACAATCTTTTCAAAAATATTTAAAGGAAACAAAGATGTTGCAAATCCTTCGGACAATAAACAGTAATTTAGAGTTAAATTTAACTTTATATAGAGTCAAAACAAGAATTATGTGAGTTTGATTATTTATTTAAAAAATTACCAAAAAATTTAAAGAAAAATTAGGGCACGTTTGGTTTAATATTCCTATTCATATTCTCAATTTTATTCCCAAAATATTTGTTTGTTTAATTATTTAGGAAACATTAGTATATTTTTTTAATTATTTTTAGATCCTTTAAGTTTATTAATTTCATAAATACCCCCAGAAAAAAGTTTAAAAATTAACAAAAACACCCTCACCCACCCATAGTTGCTAGATTCCATCAACCACCGTCAGTGGTAGCTGGAATTTGTCACAACGGCTCACAAACGACTGAAACTGGCCGGTAATTCACTGATCTAGCTTTTTTCGACCAGATCTACAGTGGATTTGGCCAGAAAAGCCCAAATTTGGCCGTCGCAAAGAAATGGCCGTCGTTGACAGTCAACGATGGCCATATTTGGACTTTTGCAGCCGTAGATCTGGCATTTTTTGGCCAGATCCGTGGTGGATATGGTTGGAAAAGGCCATATCGACGCCCTACCCACCAGATTCCACCGGTCAGCTTCATAACACCATTTTCTGGCTAGATTCCGATGGTGGTGGCCAGAATCTGGCACTGTGGGTGGGTGGAGGTGTTTTTGTTATTTTACAAAATTTTTATATATTGGGTTGTTTAGTTAAATTAGCAAATCTATGAGGTTTTTTTGTTAATTTTTAAATTTTACCTTATAATACTTACCCTATTCAACTACCCAATATTATTTCTAAAATCTTATCCAAAATAACAAAACAAACTACCCTAAAATTTTAAATTAAAACACAACAAAAATTAAAAAAACTGGAAAAAGAAAACAAAAACGAAAACAAGCAGCCTAGTAGTGCTGGGCCTGCTGGCAGCTCTAGCCTCAATTTGGCCAGTCAGGTCAAATCAAGGCAATCTACCCATGCGTAGCTGAANAACTTTTTTTTCAGGGGGTATTTAGTGAAATTAATAACCTTATGGGGTTAAAATGTAATTAAAAAAAATAGGGTAATATTTTGAGAATATTGTACCAAACGCGATTTGAAAAATAGGATCCAGAATAGGGATAAAAATATTAAACCAAACGCATACAAAAATATTTAGTTGTATATTTATTATAACTGAAATACTGAATTATTAAAAAAAAAAAAAAAGACAAGAATGAAATAACAATTCATTTATTGTTAGTGCTTGATTTTGACACCAATGTTTTATACGTGCAAAATGTTAAAAAGTTACACATGAGCATATTATGATAAATAGGTGAGGTACCGTTTGCACAGTAACATGAAAAGACGTAAAAAATAAAGCAGTCAGTAAGATTTTTTTAATGGTTCAGATGCTTAAAGTGAATCTTATATCTACTATGTTATTTTTATATAAATATGTTTCTGGTCGTTAGACAAGATTATAAGAGGTTGCAAACTACGATCTAGTATTACAAGTGCTTAGTGTTCTAAGTGTTCTTAAAGAATGTCAAGCCAGTCTCTTTCTAGTAGTGTGTCTTTGCTATTTTATTTGTTGAATTCAAGGGTGTTTGATCCCGATTTTGTGAGAGAAAACTGCCTATTTATACCCGTTGTACTCAAAGTAATGATTACACTTTTGCAAGTGGCTTGATGTTGTACAGATCTCTCCTATCTTTCGGTTACTAAAAAAATATTCTTAAATTAAATGAGGCTTAAACAGGTGTATGAAACAAATCATTCATACACAAATTTTTGAGTCAGTTGCGTTTTGACAGTTATATTCCTTTTGCCTATGGAGATGTGACAAGTTCTAAATAGTGGAAAGCTTTATTGAACTCTAATTGGTGCTTAATGATGTCAGCATAGGTCAGCTCTTATTTTTGGCATAACATTTATTAATCCCCAATCTTTATCAATCTATAATTTTGTGTTACATTCTTCAAATATTGTATACATTTATTAAAAAAAATATCAATTTTCAATTTGAAATCAAGTATTAATCTAAATTTCTTTAAAAAACGAAATAGGGGTTTATATTAGAAATATTGTCAATTAGGGTACAATCTTTTCAAAAATATTTAAAGGAAACAAAGATGTTGCAAATCCTTCGGACAATAAACAGTAATTTAGAGTTAAATTTAACTTTATATAGAGTCAAAACAAGAATTATGTGAGTTTGATTATTTATTTAAAAAATTACCAAAAAATTTAAAGAAAAATTAGGGCACGTTTGGTTTAATATTCCTATTC